CTGAGGGTAGCAACTGGGCCACATAGGACAGTGAGGGGGGCACAAACGGCGACAGCGGGGCCACGAAGGACATGCACATGGGGCCACAACGGGCGCGAACGAGCGGGGGCCACGAAACGCATATGTATGTTGGGCCGCGGAGGGCAAGGACGGGGCCACTGAGGGCAGCAATGGGGCCACGACGGGTGGCAGCGAGGGGGCCACGATGGGCGACAGCGGGGCCACGAAGGGCATGCATATGGGGCCACCACGGTTGCGAACGAGCGGGAGCTACGAAGGGCATACATATATGGGGCCACGAAGGGCAGCCAGGGGGCCACGAAGGGCTGCATCGGGGCCACGATGGGGAGCAAGGGGGTCACGAGGGGCTGCAACGGGGCCACGAAGGACTGCAACGGGGCCACGAAAGGCAGCGGGCCAAAAAGGGCTGTAACGGGGCCACGAAACAAAGCGAGGGGGCCACGAAGGGCTGCAACGGGGCCACGAAACAAAGCGAGGGTGCCACGAAGGGCTGCAATGGGGCCACGAAACAAAGCGAGGGGGCCACGAAAGGCTGCAACGGGGCCACGAAACAAAGCGAGGAGGCCACGAAGGGCTGCAGCAGGGCCACGAAGGGCAGCGAGATCCTGATTCATAGGTAATATGTGAGGAAGTCCTAAGCGTGAGCGCGACTTCTGGGCGCTTGGGTGTCGGGAGCGCGGCGCTTGAGTAAATTGCAAGAAATTCCTCCGCAAGGACACCATTCGTCAGTAAATTGCAAGCGAGTCTCCAGCGAGAGCGCAACTCCAGAGCGCCGGGAGAGCAATTCCTGAATAAATGGTCAAGAAGTGCCAAGCGAGAGCGCGATTCCTTAAAACATGCCTGGAGGTCTCGGGCGTGAGCGGGGTTCTGGCGAAGCTGTGAGGAAGTCTCAGGCGGGAGCCGTTGCTGACCATCAAGACACTCCCTGATTTGCTTATAAACAAAAAACGGGTGCGAACGTCGAGGGGCACACTTTGACCGAGAGCAACAATAATTGTTCTTCAGAAGTGAGAGTTCAACAACAACAACAACAACAACAACAACAACAACAACAACAACAATCATTTTACCCGAACGCTCAGTGTTCTCCCCAGTGCCAGGGTTTTCTTGCGACACCAGCCAATACCCCCACTTCGTGGGGGGGCCGTTCAAGCTCTACCAAATATCCAAACGACTCTTCGAGACCACCCACACCCAGCTTCCCGCCCTATGACGTTGGGACACTTCACTTCGTGGCGTGCGGACGACCCTGGCTACTACACTGGCGTGGGGTACACACCCACAGAGGTTGATCACATCTGTTACATATGATGTGGTACACGGTACACGTGAGATGGTACGCAGTGCCAAGATAGTGCGCAACCGTTGTTGGAGAAGTTCAAAGCACCTGAAGAAGTAGCACGCAAAGACCCTTTTGACAGAAATGTTTAAAAAGTGGTGTGTTTCCTATGAATCCGCAAGAGCGCGCGGAAGGACATTTTGACAATTTTTTCTTAAAAAACCATTGGGTTTTTGATGTTTTTATGTTAAAATCGCTACGAAACCTAAGGTTTTGGAAGGATTTCGTCTTGCGAGCGCGAATGTCCACTTTACCTTATTTTTTGCAAGGGATTCTTGAAATTTGATCAACTAAGAACAAGAATTTTCATTTTCTATTGTTTTTTGCAAGGGAAAACGAGCGTCAACAAAAAACCGGATCCGGGGGTAATCCACTTTTCTGAAGCTTTCGCAGAAAAATGATGAAAATGTAGCTGCGGCCTAGGTTTTGGGCGGGGGGCGTGCACCAGGGGGTCCAACAATAATAATTCTTTAGAAGTAATAGTGTTCAAAAACAACAATCAGTTTAAGACTGTTCGCCCTTATCTGCTCGAGCGTCCAATTACGCGTATTTCCCAAACCCTCGATACCCGCCTTCATCGACTTCAGTCGAACGCACGAAGGGCAGCGAGGGGATCACGAAGGGCTGAATCGGGGCCACAAAGGAGAGCGAGGGGGCCACGAAGGGCTGCAACGGGGCCACGAGGGGCAGCGACGGGGCCACGAAGGGCAGCCAGGGGACCACGAAGGGCTGCAACGGGGCCACGAAACAAAGCGAGGGGGCCACGAAGGGCTGCAACGGGGCCACGAAGGGCAGCGAGGGGGCCACGAAGAGCTGCAACGGGGCCACGAAACAAAGCGAAGGGGCCACGAAGGGCTGCAACGGGGCCACGAAAGGCAGCGATATCCCGATTAGGTAATCTGTGCAGGAGTCCTAAGCGTGAGCGTGACGCCTGGGTGCGTGGGTGTCGGGAGCGCGGCGCTTGAGTAAATTGCATGAAATTTCAACGCAAGGGCGCTATTCGTCAGTAAACTGCAAGCAAGTCCTCAGCGAGAGCGCGACTCCAGAGCGCCGAGAGAGCGATTCCTGTATAAATTGTAAGGGAGTCCCAAGCGAGAGCGCGATTCCTGGATAAAATGCGAGGAAGTCTCGGGCGGGAGCGGGGGCCCTGGCTAAATTGTGAGGAAGTCTCTGGCGGGAGCCGTCGTTGTTGTAACCCGGGGGCCAGGGGCGCAGTTTGAGCATCGAGGGGCACACTTTGATTAAGAAAAAAATGCACGGGTGAGGGGGGGCCAACAATAATTTTTCTTCAGAAGTGAGAGTTCAACAATCATTATAAGACTGTTCGCCCTTATCTGCTCGAGCGTCCAATAACGCGTATCTCCCAAACCCTCGATACCCGCCCTCTTCGTCTTCAATCGAGACCCTTTTGGGTGGTATACCTTTCTTCCCTGCAGGCCGGGACCTGGCAAGCGGCGGGGCGGCCGCGGACCGTCGGCCTGGCCAGCGGCAGCGCTGATCGGCGGGGCGGCCGCGGACCGTCGACCCGACCCCCAGAGGGACGGACAGGGGACCGACCACGACGAGGACGACGACGACGACGTCGACGACGACGGCGACGACGACGACGACGGCGACGACGACGAGCGAAAGCGAGAGCGAGAGAGAACGACAGCAGGGCCACGAAGGGCACGAAGTAGGCCACGAAGGGCGACAGCGGGGACACGAAGGGAATGCGTATGGGGCCACGGAGAGCGCGAACGAGCGGGGACCACGAAGGGCAGATAATGCGGGGCCACAGAAGGCAACGATGGGGCCACTGAGGGTAGCAACTGGGCCACGAGGGACAGTGAGGGGGCCACGGCGACAGCGGGGCCACGAAGGGCACGCACATGGGGCCACAACGGGCGCGATACGTATGTTGGGCCGCGGAGGCAGGACGGGGCCACTGAGGGCAGCAACGGGGCCACGAAGGGCAGCGAGGGGGCCACGAAGGCGACAGCGGGGCCACGAAGGGCATGCATATGGGGCCACCACGGGCGCGAACGAGCGGGGGCCACGAAGGGCATACATATATGGGGCCACGAAGGGCAACGAGGGGGCCACGAAGAGCTGCAACGGGGCCACGAAGGGCAGCGAGGGGGCCACGAAGGGCTGCAACGGGGCCACGAAGGGCTGCAACGGGGCCACGAAGGGCAGCAGCGGGGCCACGAAGGGCATGCACATGGGGCCACAACGGAACGGGCGCGACTCCTGGGTGCCCCGGTGTCGGGAGCGCGGCGCAAGAGCAAATTGCAGGAAATTCCAGAGCAAGGGCGCTATTCGTCAGAAAATTGCAAGCAAGTCTCCAGCGAGAGCGCGACTCCAGAGCGCCGGGAGAGCGATTCCTGTATAAATTGTGCGAGAGCGCGATTCCTGGATAAAATGCGATGAGTTCTCGGGCGGGAGCGGGGGTCCGGGCTAAATTGTGAGGAAGTCTCAGGCGGGAGCCGTTGAACATTATTTATTCTAAAGAATAATTATTGTTGGGCCCCCTGGTGCGCGCCCCCCCTGCGCCGCCTAGGCCGCAGCTACATTTTCATCATTTTCGTGAGGAAGCCTCAGGTAATTCGATGTGATCAAGATCCGGTTGTTTTGTTGTAATCCGCTTTCCCTTGCAAAAAACACTATAAAATGACATTTCTTGTTCTAATATAATCAAATTTCAAGAATCCCTTGCAAAAAATAAGGTAAAGTGGACATTCGCGCGCGCAAGACGAAATCCTTCCAAAAGCTTAGTGTTCGGAGCGATTTTAACATAAAAACATCAAAAAACCAATGGTTTTTCAACAAAAAAATGTCAAAATCTCATCCCGCGCGCTCTTGCGGATTCGTAGGAAAACCAACACTTTTTAAACATTTCTGTCAAACGGGCTTTTGCGAGCAACTTTTTCGAACTTCTGCGACAACGGTTGCGCACCTGCCAGGGCCATCATCCCTGTCAAATAATACCATGCGGGACACATTCGTTTTTTCTTCGCGCGCGCACGCCGTCGTCGTCGGCCGCGGGGCCCTGAATAGTAGCCACGGTCGTCCGCATGCCACGAAGTGAAGTGTCCGAACGTCATAGGGCGGGAAGCTGGGTGTGGGTGGTGGCGAAGAGTCGTTTGGAAATTTGGTAGAGCTTGAACCGGCCCCCCCACAAAGTGGGGGTATTGCCCGCCTCCTATGAAAACCCTGGCACTGGTGAGAACGGAGTGTCCCCACGTGCTAGTAATTGTTGTTGTTGTTGTTGTTGTTGTTGTTGTTGTTGTTGCTGTTGTAACCCAAGGGCCAGAGGCGCAGTTTGAGCATCAAGACTTTCCCTGACAAAAAAGAGGGTGCGAGCGTCGAGGGGCACACTTTGACTTAGAAGAACAATATGCACCGGCGAGGGGGGATCAACACTACTCATTCTTCAGGCATGAGAGTTCAACACTCCGTCCTGATTGTCATTCGACGCGAGGGAGCGCCCTCTTCTGAGATAGAGCACGGCCCTCGGCGGCCCGCGCCGGCTCCTCGGCGGCCCTCGGCGGCGCTGGGGAGCCCCGCGCAGGCGGTCGTCGTCGTCGTCGTCGGCGGCGGCGGCGTTGTCGTCGTCATCGTCGCCGTCTCTGAGCCGCGACCAGGGCCTCCCGGCGGCCTCCAGGCGACCGCGGAGCCGCTGCTGCACCAGCCCCAGCGTCTCGAACTTGGCCTCGCACGCCGGCCGAAGCTGCCCGGCGGCGCGCCGCAGGCGCTGCACGCTGGCCTTCAGCCGCGGAGCATCACCAGGAAGCAGCTCCTGTGGGATGTGAAGGGGGTCCTCCTCCTCCTCCTCCTCCTTCTCCTCCTCCTCTCCCTCCTCCTCCTCCTCCTCCTCCTCCTCCTCCTTCTCCACCTCCACCTCCTCCTCCTCCTCCTCCTCCTCCGTTTCCTACTGTCCCTCCTCCTCCTCCTCCTCCTCCTCCTGCTTCTCCTCCTCCTCCTCCTCCTCCTCCTCCTCGTCCTCCTCCTCCTCTTCTTCCTCCTACTGCTGGCTCTGAAGGGGGTCCTCCTCCTTCTCCTCCTTCTCCTCCTCCTCCTCTTCCTCCTCCTGGTCCTCCACCTCCTCCTCCTCCTTATCAGTATTAGTAGTAGTGTTAGTATTACTCTGTGTATTAGTATTGTTGTTATTACTCGTATTGTTAATATTGCTAGTATTATTAGTAGTCGTATTATTATTGTTGATATTATTATTCGTAGTAGTATTCGTATTATTATTAGTAGTAGCATTAGTATTACGATTATTAGTACTAGTATAATGCATACCATTATTATCAGTACTAGTATTATTACTATTAGTAGTATTGTTAGTTTCTTAGTAGTACTACTATTGTTATTCCAAGTATTAGTATTATTCATATCATTATTATCATCAGCATTAAAGTATTATTGCTAGTATTAGTATTAGTACTATTCGCATTAGCAATATTATTTTAATATTAGTTTTGGTATTACTAATATTATTATGGTTAGTACGCTTATCATCATTATGTTCAGTAGTATTCTTATTGTTAGTAATTTTAGTAATACTTGTATTGCGTTCATTATTAGTATTATTAGCGTTACTATGATTATTAATAGTAGTAGTATTATTGTCATTAACAGCATCAGCATCATCATCATCAGCATCATCATCATCAGCATCAGCATCATCATCAGCATCAGCATCAGCATCAGCACCAGCATCATCATCAGCATCAGCATCAGCATCAGCATCAGCATCAGCATCAGCATCATCATCATCATCATCATCATCATCATCATCATCATCATCATCATCATCATCCTCATCCTCATCCTCATCCTCATCCTCATCATCATCCTCCCCCTCCTCCTCCTCGTCCTCCTCCTCCTCCGTCTCCTACTGTCTTCCTCCTCCTCCTCCTGCTCCTCCTCATCATCATCCTCATCCTCCTTCTCCTCCTCCTACTCCTCCCCCTCCTCTTTCTCCTCCTCCTCCGTCTCCTCCGTCTCCTCCTCCTCCTTCTCCTCCTCCTTCTCCTCCTCCTCCATTCCTTTCCTTATAAATAACTTCTCCCTGTCGCACCCCGAGGCAAGTTTTTAGGGCGGACCGGGCGTTTCGCATGAGATTTCCTCACCATCTACGACTCTGAAGCTTAAAAGTTGGCAACAGCTTTAAAGATGGAGGGCGGGCAGTTTTCAAAATGTAGCTCTCGCCTTCGCGCCGCGCACACTCGTTTAAACAGTTGCAAGAATTTCACGGGTTGGGAGCGGCTTCTTTTCAAAATGTGGCTCTCGCCTTACCGCGGCGCACATTTGTTTTCAACATTCGCAAGAGTTTCACGGATTGAGGGCGGCTTCTTTTCAAAATGTGGCTCTCGCCTTAGCGCCGCGCACATTCGTTGACAATATGTTCAAGAGTTTCATGAAGTCCCATCAGCAACGTATCAGAACAGGCGCTTTCGAAGGATTTAGGACAATGTGGGTGCAATAGTTACGTTGATTCTCTGTGTTGAAGTCCTAGGAAGGGCGATCTGGCACGATTCAGAATCGTCGAGGCACAACAGTCGGGTTGATGCGTGGCGTTGGAATCCCGAGAACCATGTGTTGGCAAGCTCCAGGGCCTTCAAATGGGCGTCTTCCAACGAGGCAGTTCCATCAATGCAAATGAACCGTTGTAGGGGCCTATGAAGAGAGAGCTTGGAGGGAGGGTTTACTCCAACATCGTTGATGACTCTTGGGTTTACACTGGTCCTCCTCCTCCTCCTGATCCTCCTCCTCCCCCTCCCCCTCCTCCTCCTCCTCCTTCTCCAGGCCCAGACGATTGTTGTCTGATCAAGCAACAATTACTGGTCATCAGAGGCCAGCGCGCAACTCGCAGAATATTAATGAGATAACAACTCTGCTGGGGCACCCAACTCAAGAAAAGCCTGGACGAGGGTAGGGAAGTGATGCTGCGTCTGCGGTGGGCCCGGCCTGTTCCATCGCCTCCCTGTTCGCGCTGAACTGCGTCGAATCCGTGTCGAATCCTCGCCGAATACGCGCCGAATCTGCGTCGAGCCCGCGCCTGATACAAGAAATGACCGCCCTTTACAAGACAGACTGGGCCACCCGAATAGACAACATTGGGGTGGGCGGGCAGAAAAAAGCCCAAGAAAAATGCACGCCCCAAGCCACGTACATGAATACGGCCCCCAGCTCGAGGACTGCCCTCATGCTACGAACGCTCGAAGAATGTGATCTCTCAAAGCTGGTATAAATTCGTGCGTGCGTAGAGTCACCACGCTACCATAAGGAACGCTGAATACGGAACGAAGGGGCTATTCTGGCCACGGCGAGCCTCGGCCACGAAAAGCTTCCCCGGCATAGATCCAACGAATGGACCGAAAATCAAAGCTTCTCCTGATCCATGGTGGTCCGACCCTTACTTCAGCGACTTGACTGTACACTCCCCAGCTCGCGGGATCTCTCTCATGCTACGAACGCTCGCAGACTGCGCTCTGAGAAAGCCGACGAGAACTCATGTGCGCGGCCGTTCCGATCGGCGCGCGCGCGGAGTGCAAACGATGGGACTGCTCGTGTGCGGAACGGGGCGTGGGGTGGCGGGAACTGAGGCTGGAAAGAGTGTGTGGGACGGGGAGCGGAAATCGGAGCGGGCGGCGGAGTGGCAGCTGGCCTGAGGCGGGAATGAGATTCGGAGTGGGAGTCGACAGCCGACCGCGAGCCGACGGGTAGCCGACAGTGGACAGTGAACGGTTGACGGTGGACAGTGAACAGGGAGGGGTGGACAGCGGACAGCCGACGGTTGAGAATGAATGGACAGTGGCAGCGAGCATTGGAACCCCTGTCTATAGAATGAAAGATGGGGTCTGGGCTGGAGTGAAGCAGGAGTGGGAGCCACAGCACTGGGAACGGGAGTCGGAGCTGTCTCCCCAGGAACGGGGAGTGGGCACGAGACTGGCGACCAGAAGCGAGAGCGGGAGCGGGCTCTGGAACTGGACCGGGCGTGGCAGCGGGGCGAGGGAGCAGTGCCTGGAGAGCGAGGAGCGGAAGCTGGAGCGGGGAGGCGGGCCGCGCACTGCGAGGCCCAGTCCTCGGCAGGCCCCTCATCCGCCTGGCGGCGGGCGCCGCGCACAGCACGCTGCCAGGCATCAGGCCGGCAGGTGGCGCGCAGAGGTTCCCCACCACCCTCCCGCGCACGCCTCGAACGCACGACTGCGCGGCAGCGGAGCGAGCACGGCGGCCGTCACGTCCTGGCCCCCTCAACCCCCCCCCGCCACTGGACTGACCTGGGCTTCGGCCACCCAGGAGTTCTGACGCGTCCGAAGGGCAGCCGGTAGACATGAACTGGATGGTGCTGTCTCAGGATGTTCCGGGCCATTGCCCTGAAGTTGGCCGACTGGAGGTGCATGGGGGGGGCCAAGAGGGGCGAGGGAGGGGGTGAAGTGACCTCAGCGTGACCTTGGGCACAGGCGCCTGGAATACAGTCACCCTGCTCCTGGGGGTGTTGCCGGTGGCGCTCCTTCGGCTCGCTGCCTGACGTTATCAGGCATAAAAAACGCGTCCTCGAGTCGTCGCCACGGCTGAATGTGTGTGCTCCGAGGGCGAGTGGTACCGGGCGCTTGGCCATACAACATGCTGGTGCGTGGAATCCTCTGCGTAGAAATGGGCATGTACGTCGGAGAAGGGAGGAGGGCGCGGCACAGGGAGGAATAATGCCGCTGCCCGAGCAACGCCCTGGATTCATCCATGCCAAAGAACAGCCTGTGTCTCCAACGCTTCCTCCTCAGAACCATGCCCTGGCGGTCTGCGAATCAAGGTGCCGTGCGCTCGATGCATGGAGTCGGATGGTTTGGACGTAAAATCTCGCTACAGCCGAGGAGCTGGTCGTGGTCTTCGAAGCGGGGTGGGGCGCAAATGTATGTATCTCGCCACCCGAACGCTCATCGCAAAAACACCGCGTGCCTTGTAGGACGGGTCTTTTCCGCTTCCGACTCGCTGGGGTGGAGCGAGGCTTATCCTGTTCTTCTCTGCCTGGGGGTGCGACCCTACACGCTGGCGGGGCCCCCTTCTTCCCTCCGCTCCTTCTCTTCCGAGGGGCAACGTTCGAGGGGGACCAGCTCGGGGGGGGGGGGGGAAGCATCGACCTGGGCCCCCGATGGCGAATCCGCACGCTCCTGGGCGGGGTGGGCCAGCGGGCCCAGCACTTCCCATGTTTTCCCGTATTTTCCTGGGAGTCGACGATGAATTGTGTGCGTTTGTGTGTTTGGTTTTCCCCCCGAAAGTGGGCCCAGCGCGGGTCCAAAGGGCCCCCGCTGGCCACGACCGAGCCCCGCTCCCTGCCGGGGGCTCTCCCCCCCTGCACTCCCGCTCGGCACACGGCCCGCCCGCCCCGACGACGGCGGGCCGGAGCGGCCCTCGTCGAGGCCTGCTTGCCAGGATCCATGACAGCCCAAGAGGCCACACTCCTTACTTGCCCATCGGAAGCTTACACTTCTAGCATCTACGACGTTTCGGCCTTCGCGGCGTCACGGACAGCTTCGTCCTCAGGGTCGGCGGCACCGGCCGTAAGGCCTTCGCAATCAATCACAGCGCAAAGGCTTCCCTCGTTTGTGGCATTACTGATCCAAAAGATGTGTATGTCGTGCTTTCTGGGCGGCCGAAAATGTAGACCTCCATGGATTGGTATGGCCCTACGCAGCAGGCTTGATGCATGTCGGGCATACTGCGAGGGGCCTCGATGGTTCCCCCACACATGGAAAAGCCTCGATGCATTCCGGGGCCAATGCGCGGGGCCTCGATGTTGTGGATGGATGCATGCAACAGCCCCGATGTCTACGATGTGTTAACCGTCCTCTATGCATTTCGGGGGGGCAATGCGCAGGGCCTCGATGATCTGTTCGATTGTACGCAGTACCCCGAAACGTTTTGGGTATAGTGGCTGTTGGGGCCTTATGCAAGACCTTCGACGGATTCCAAATGGGGACTCGATGTTCCGTTTGGTGAGGACATACATCAACCGAAATATCAAGTGTTGGCATGGGCCCTCATCAATATACCGTTGCCCAAATCTTAGCCTGGTTAACCGCTAAGGCTAAGTTGCGGCGTATTCCCTTCGGCGTAAAAATCGGACTGTAAATTCGATCTGGGTATTCACGTCGACGGTTTAGCTGGAGGTCAAGTTTAACCTCGGTGTTCACCTCGGCGCTTGATCGGGCCTCAATTTGACCGCAGGGTCGACATCAACTTTGGCATCGGTGTAATCGGGCCTCAGTTTTGACCTCGATGGCCTGTGAATAAATCTCCGTTGGGCTCATTCCTGATGTCGGTGATCACCCCCGCGCTTTAATCGGACCTCGAGGTCGACCTCAGTATTCACAGTAGTAGCGTTGAAATCAGACATCGAGTGTGATCTCGGTCTTCACCTTCGCGGGTTCGTCGGACTTCAACGTTGACCTCGGTATTCGCTTCAGCGCCAAAACATAAGTACCTCATTTGTTTACGTATATATGTACCGTGGCGAGAAACATAAACATCTATGTTTTCCTCGGCACGAAAACTAATCTTTATTGTCGCTTCGAGTTTTACCTCAGCGTCACCGTCAGCCGACGACCTGGGCCCCAGCCCTCATCCCGACCCGAACCCTGGCCCGCAGCCCAAAGCCTCACGCTAGCCATATCAGTAGCCCTGGGCCGTCCTACGTCGCTGCTCGATCCCCTGGTTTAGCCTGAGCCTCGTCCCGAAGGCCCTGGCCGACAGCCCCAACACCTACCTCGCCCAGGCCTCAACCCAAACCCGATCACCTCAGCCGCGCCACGTCGCCGTAGCCGTGCCCCTGGCCCCCAGGCCACCCGGCAGGCCAGACCGCAACCGTAACTCCACCACCAGCCCCACGCCCGAGGCCGCAAGCGCACGGGGGCGGGAGTGGGGGCACGCAGCACAGCTGCATGAAGCACGGGCACGTGGCAGCTCGGGCGTTCTGCATTCTCCGCGGTCAGACGAGCTCACTCGCCCACGAGACCCCCGCGCCGACCACGGAAGACCCCAAGCACCCGACCGGCCGTCGAAGGTTCAATCCTATGTGGGGGATGAGCGAGACAGCACGGCGCATGGCGCGGCCGCTGCGCAAATTAGACTCGAGCCTTTCCTCGCACCACCGACATGACGCTCAAGGCCCCTCGCGCGCAAGAGCTGGAATGCGCGAGGCCTTCGGGGCATACTCAAGGGATCGTCAACATATGTCTGGGAGCGCCGCGAGAACGTTAGAGGCCTTCTCATGGTTCAAGCCAAACAAACATCTAGGTCTTTATGGCGCATGCAAAAAAAGCATCGAGGTAATTTATAGCGCTTAAAATTGTCCTGGCGAAGGACCCAATCATATGCAAATGGGAATACCGCAGGGCGCGTGGGACAAAGGAAAGGGACCCCCCCTATGCGGCCACGAAGCGCGGGAGGGGCGTGCCAGAATCGGCGGGGGGCCGCATGTGGAAATACCCCTTGGGGCCTTCGGTGGAGCTCCCTATGGAGCCGCGAAGCTTGCGAGAGGTGTGCCGAAGTGCACCCACTGGGGCCTCGGTGGAGCTCCCCATGGGGCCACGACCACTGGGGCCTTGAGGTACACATCGAACCAAAGTATAGCTCGTGGAGAGGGTGTTCGCGTCTCAGAGATAGATACACACAAAGCCCCCGATCCACTGATGGCCGCGAATCGCTGTGGATTTAGCGTCCCAGGCCTCTCGCGCGACATCTGCGGGAGAGATCCAGGATGTGCCAGGGTCCGCCGCTGCGTTCCCCGGGGTCCAGGCTGGCAATAAAGCAGAAACAGAAGTCTGCCCGAACCCTCAGGGAAGAACTGCCTACCCATGCCAACTGCCGACCTGACCCTGATAGAGCAGCCAGCCTGTTCCAAGCTGGTCGCCAACGCTGGTAGCAGCAGCTGCCGCAACTCCTCTAAGTCTCGGGTCACGGCCTCCACCTCGGCGGCCAAGGAGGAGAAGGAGGAGAAGGAGGAGGAAGAGGAGGAGGGGGAGGACGGAGGAGCGGGGGGGGGAGGAAAAGGAAGAGGAGAGGAAAGGAGGGAGAGATAGGAGGAGGAGATGAGAGGAGGGAGGAGGAGGGGGAGGAGGGGAGAAGGCGGAGGAGAGGAGGAGGAGGCGGAGTGGAGGAGGGCGCGGAAGATACGAGGCGGAAGGAGGGAGGAGGAGTGGGGGAGGAGAAGGATGGAGAAGGAGGAGGCGGAGGCGGAGGCGGAGGCGGAGGAGGAGGAGGAAAAAGGATTAGTAGGTAGGAGAGGAGGAGTAATGGGGAGGAGGAGGAGGAGGAGAGGAGTAGGAGGAGGAGGAGGAGGAAGTGGAGGGGAACGAGGAGGGACGGATGGACCGAGGAGAGGAAACAAAAGGAAGCGGACGGACGGACGGACGGACGGACGGACAGACAGATGCATGGATGGATGGATGGATGGATGGATGGATGAATGGATGGATGGACGGACGGACGGACGGAGCGAGGGAGGGAGAGAGGGAGGGAAGGAGGAGGAGGAGGGAAGGAGGAGGAGGAGGAGGAGGATCCTCCCTTCTCACCCGTCCTACCAATGGTAGCGGTGGTGGAACATCGGCCCATCATGAAGGGCGCACCCCCGCGGGCGTGGCGCGCAGGCGGGCCGATCCCAGGTCGACCCCGCAGATCCGATCCTCAGAGGAGGAAAGTCGAAGGACATTGAACAGCATAAACATCGACTTTCGGAGGTTTGCCAACGCCTGGCGCCCCCCGCGCGCGACTCGGGCGTCGAGGCGCGGAAGCGGAACCCCAGCGCTGAACGCTCGCGCTGCAAGGGAGGCCATCGTACTGATCAGCGAATCCACTTCACCATTTGGCGTGAATCGCCTTGGCCCAGAACGCGGTGCGCGCAGCGCGGCCAGTCTTAACAGCCCCCACGAGGCCAGCTCTCGCGACCCCGCCCAGAAGTCTTCCGACTGGAGACTCGGAACCGTTTTGGGGGGTCGTCGGGCGGCGGCGGCCGCGGCGCCCTGCCGGCCGTGGGTTTCTTGGATCGGCGCTGGACCCCCTTCCGGCGCCTCCGACGCCGCTCCTCGCGAAGCTCCGAGAATCTATGTTCTATGCAGATTTATGCTCCTCTAGGGAATGTGCCCATACGGCCACCCTTGCCTCGTTGTCGCCTTTCTGGGCCTTCTGGGAGGCCCCCGTCGCCACCGCCAGATTCACCTCGACATTCTGGTCAGCACGTGCCCTCGGAGAGGTCCGGGGAGTGGCAATATCGGTACCTTTTTTGTGGGGGGTCCCAAATGTGTCATCGGTGTTCTGGCCGGCTCGATCCGATTCGGCATCGTTATTCTGGCCGGCTCGCTCCGACTCGATCGATTTCTCATGTTCGGATCATTCGACATGGCCCGACGCCTGCGTGGCGCCGTCGTGCATCCTGGCGCGGCCGATCCGACCTCGATCTCGACTCCGTTCCGATGGCGCCCGACCTGGCACACATGTCGGTCCGATCCGATGTCACATGTCGGGTCGACGTGGGATCGGCCCGCCCGCGCGCCTCTCCCGCGGGGGTGCGCCCTTCATGATGGGCCGATTTTCCACCACCGCTACCATTGATAGGACGGATGAGAAGGGAGGATCCTCCTCCTCCTCCTCCTCCTCCTCCTCCTCCTCATCCTTCTCCTCCCTCCCTCCCTCCCTCCTTCCCTCCCTCCCTCCCTCTTTCCCTCCCTCCCTCCCTCCCAACCTCGCTCCGTCCGTCCATCCATTCATCCATCCATCGATCCAATCATCCATCCATCCATCCATCCATGCATCTGTCCGTCCGTCCGCCCGCCCGCCCGCCCGTCCGTCCATCTCCTCCTCCTCCTCTCCTCCTCCTCCTCCTCGCCTCATCCTCCTCCTCCTCCGCTCGCTCCCTGCTTCAACCTCCTCCTCCTCCTCCTCCTCCTCGCTCCTCCTCCTCCTCCTCCTGCTCCTCCTCCTCCTCCTCCTCTCACTCCTCCTCCTCCTCCTCTCCTCCTCCCTCCTCCTCCTCCTCCGCCTCCTCCTCCTCCGCCTCCGCCTCCTCCTCCTCCTCCTCCTCCTCCACCTCCTCGCTCTCCTCCTCCTCCAACCCCTCCTCCTCTCCTCCTCCTCCTCCTCCTCCTCCTCCTCCTCCTCCTCCTCCTCCTCCTCCATCTCCTCCTCCTCCTCCTCCTCCTCCTCCTCCTCCTCCTCGTCCTCCAGTCCTCGTCCTCCTCTCCTCCTCCTCCTCCTCCTCCTCCTCTCCTCCTCCTCCTCCTCCTCCTCCTCCTCCTCCTCCTCCTCCTCCTCCTCCTCCTCCTCCTCCCCCTCCCCTCCTACCTCCTCCTCCTCCTCCTCCTCCACCTACCTCCCTCCTCCACCTCCTCATCATCATCAGTATCACATCATCTTCCTCCTCCTCCTCTCCCTCCTCCTCCTCCTCCTCCTTCCTCCTCTTCCTCCTGCTCCTTCCTCCTCCTCCACCTCCTCCTCCTGCTCCCCTCCTCCTCCTGCATGCTCCTCCTCCTGCACGCTCCTCCCTCCTCCTCCTCCTCCTCCTCCTCCTCCTCCTCCTCCTCCTCCTCCACCTCCTCCCCTCCTCCTCCTCCTCCTCCTCCTCCTCCTCCTCCTTCCACCTCCTCCTCCTCCTCCTCCTCCTCCTCCTCCCTCCTCCGCCTCCCTCCTCCTCCTCCTCCTCCTCCTCCTCGCTTCTCTCCTCCCCGCGCTCTCCACCTCCTCCTCCTCATCATCATCCTCCTCCTCTTCCCTCCTCCTCCTGCCCTCCTCGCTCCTCCAATCTCCTCCTCCTCCTCCTCCTCCTCCACTTCCCCCTCCTTCCCCTCCTTCCCCTCCTCTCCCGCCTATGGCAGTGGTGGAAAAGTCGGCTCATCCGCGAGGGTGCGCCCTTGAGGCCCGCGCCTCCGCCAGAGTCAGCGCGAGGCTGGCGCTGCGCCGCTCGCCTCGCGCACGGCGGCGCGGGCCGAGCTGAGGGATGCCAGCGATGACAGCGGGTGCACAGGGATCCACAGAGGGGGAGGAGGAGGAGGAGGAGGAGAGGAGGAGGGGAGGAGGAGAAGGATGGAGGAGACAAGAAGTGAGGGAGGGGAGGAGAAGAGGAGGAGGAGAGGAGGAGGAGAGGAGGTGAGGAGGAGGGGGAGGAGGAGAGGAGGAGAGGATGAAACGGACAGGGGGGCGCGGACGGACGGACGATCGGGACGGACGGACGGACGGAACGGACGCATGCTGCATGGATGGGATGATGGATGGGATGGATGGATGATGGATGGATGGAATGGAGGATGGATGGATGGATGGATGGAGGGATGGATGGATGGATGGAAGGATGAAGGCGGAGGAAAGGGAGGAGAGACAAGACGAGGAGGAGGAGGAGGAGGAGGAGAGGAGGAGGAGGTAGGGAGGAAGGGAGGAGGGAGGAGGGAGGAGGAGGAGCGAGGGAGGAGGGGAGGAGGGAGGAGGGAATGAGGAGAGAGGAGAGAGGAGGAGAGGAGGAGGAGGAGGGAGGAGAGAGGAGGGAGGAGGAGGAGGAGGAGGAGGAGGAGGAGGAGGGGGAGGAGGAGGAGGAGGAAAAGGAGGAGGAGAAGGAGGAGGAGGAGGGAGGAAGAGGAGGAGAAGCAGGTCGTTGAGGGGCGACGATCAAAGGCGAAGCCGGAACGAGGACAACATCGGGCAAGGATAGATCGAGGATCTGACATCCGGCGGCTCTGTAGGGTGTGTCGGGCGCCGCGGCCTTATCAGAGCGTTCCCGAACTCTCTGAGAGCGTTCTGGAATGCTCTGGAACCAAATTAACCTCGTGCTAACCCCATCCGATGAGCAGGGATCCACCGATCGTTGAGGGGAAACGGTAGGGAGGAGGAGGAGGAGGAGGAGGAGGAGGAGGAGGAGGAAGAGGAGAAGGCGGAAGCGGAGGAGGAGGAGGAGGAGGAGGAAGTGGAAGCGGAGGCGGAAGCAGAAGCGGCGGAGGAGAAGGTAGAGCTGGAGGAGGAGGAGGAGGAGGAGGAGGAGGAGGCGATGACCCGAACGTTCTGGGGGGACTGGCACAGGAGGGAAGCATCGACCAGAACTCGGCGATACATCGCCGACAGATCGGCGACAGGCCCCCGACAATGATAGAGAACCCGCACGCTCCTGGGAGGGGGGGAGTAGTGGGCTCCTGCCGGCGATCAGCGGGCGCTCTCGAGGGTCGACGCATCCTCCCCCATGGACCTATCCCCCCTCCCGACGTTGCCCCTGGGTGTCCCCAGGCGGTCGGATCGGGAGAGCGGAGAGGAAGACGAGGAGCGCGTTTCTTTATTCTCGGCGATAATGGGCATGACGGGGGGGGGGGAGGGGGGCCCGGGGGGGGGAATAATGTAACGCCTCCCCCTGGCCGTGTGCCCGATGCGCACGGCAGTGCCCGAAGCGCACTGGGGGGGAGGGGCATTACGTCAGAAGGGGGGGATGGGGCCGGGGGGCTATAATGCCCATTATGCCCCAAGCAATAAAGAAACACGCTCGAGGCTGAGGAGGAGGACGACGAACGACGATGATCGAGCCTCCCTTCCTTCGCCGTCCGATCCTTCCCTCGCTCTCCCCCTCCGAGCGGCAGGTGGCGAAGACTGGGCGGCAGGTGCGAGGGAGGAGCGCCGGGGAGTGGGAGAGAAGAGCGGAGGGGGCAGGGGGCAGGGGAGAGCGCAGGAGGGAGAAGGGCGCACCACTTCGGGCAGACGATCCGTCCAGGGCCCTCGGCCGCACGTGCCGAGCAGACCCGCCTCCCAGAGCGGGAGGCGCCAGAGTCGTGGGATGACCTCCCCCCCTTGGCGCCCTCCTCCTCCTCCTCCTCCTCCTCCTCCTCCTCCTCCTCCTCCTCCTCCTCCTCCTCCTCATCCTCATCCTCCTCACTCCTCCTCCTCCTCCTCCTCCCCCCCCCCCCCTCCCCCTCCTCCACCTCCCTCCTCCTCTTTCTCCTCCTCCTCCTCCTCCTCCTCCTCCTCCTCCTCCTCCTCCTCCTCCTCCCCCTCACAGGCGGCACGAAAAAAAAGTGGCGGCTGGTGGCGATCAGGCCCCACCGGGGGGCGCCCCTCTGCGCCGCCCTGCGGAGCGAGGCGCCGGCCTTGGAGCGCGCGCCGGCGTGCGGGCCTCCTGGCGCCCAGCGAAGAGAAGGCGCCGCCGTGGGGCACCCCCCCCGCGGCAGCCCCGGAGGCACAGACAGCGGAACGGGTGCCAACCGCTCGCGCGGCCCGCGAGCAGAGGCAGGCGCTGGAGGCGTGGAAAGGGGCACCAGAACCAACTCGGGGGGCTGCCTCCATAGGGGGGAAGATGATCCCAGACTTCGGTGTGGATGGTAAGACTTCGGTCAACTCGGAAGCCAGGTTCCATAGGGGGATGGTGATCCCAGACTTCGGTGTTGGTGGTAAGACTTCGGTCAGCCTGGAAGCACCACCACCGAGATCGGGATCTTCTTCCTTCGGTGGCGGCACACCGCCGATGTTGGTGTTGGCGTCAACCTCCAGGCCTGCGAGGCGGCACCACCCCACAGGGGGGGTGCAAGGGCCTCCCCGCGTGGCCGAAGGGGCAGCAGGGCCCAGCACCAGAGTCCGCGCAGGCACGGACACGCCCACCCGCTCCGCCCGACCCCCCCCCCCCCAGCCGGCGGCGCCAGGAGGCCCCGTCAGCAGAGGAGCCAGGCAGGAGCAGGGGAGGTGCAGGGGCCCTGCCACCCCGCCGCGCAGGAGGGGACTCACTCCCCCCCTGGGGGGGGGGGGGGCCGACTGCGGAGAAGGCGAGCAGGAGCTCCCGGAGCCAGGAGAGCCCGTGCCCCGGACGAGCCAGGGGGGCCCGCACGCGGCGGAGCGGGCCTGGGGCCGTGCAGCAGGCCCCGATCTGCCAAGGTGCTTGCCTGGTGGCGCGCACCTGAGGGGCAGAGGAGGCAGCAGCGGCGCCAAGGGGCAGCGCGGGCCTGGGGAGGAGCCACCGAGGGGCGTGGGGGCCAGCCCGTGCTCGGACAACGTCGGATTGTAGGGACGAGCAGTGTCGTCGTCGTCGTCGTCGTCGTCGTCGTCGTCGTCGTCGTCGTCGTCGTCGTCGTCGTCGTCGTCGTCGTCGTCGTCGTCGTCGTCGTCGTCGGGGTACGTCGGTCCCTGGCGCTGGTTAAAGATGTCCAGCCAGGTCTGGCGTCGGTGTCAAGCGTCGTCTGCTTCCGTGGCGAGGCGATGGTAGAAGATGCGCCTGACATTCGCGCCCGTAGCGCCGTGGTCGGCGCCGAGAATGTCGTCAAGGCAGAAGGTGAGAGCGTGAAAGCTGTATGCCAGAGTCAGCCGAGTGGTCCCGGTCAGGGCGTGTGGCATGGATCGCAGCGCCTTTGCACGCAGTCAACGTGTAAACCTGATAGGGGACCTTGGTCCGCCGTCCCCAGGGTCCGAGAGCGGGTCGGCGCTAAGCGACCCGAGTAGGGTGAACCAAGCAAGCACCGATTGCCCAACGTGCCCAGAGTGGGACGGCGCGACGGCCTGGTGAGAGCGGCGGCAGCCCTGGGCCGCGAGGGGCCGCGGCAGGAGCACGCTTGTCTGGCGTCTGTACTGCGGCGTTGCCTTCATCGGCGGGGGGGCCTGGCGGCCTCCGTCTTGATGAGGATTCGCTTCTGTTTGGTACTCCAGATTTCGTAATAAAAGGGAGGGGGTCTGGACCCTCCAACACAAGCCATTTCAGACCTCCCCCGTGGGAGAACCCTCCAAAACATCGTCCCCAGACCCCCCCAGGCCCTCCAAGATAGCCTGAAAGAGACCCCCCCCGAAATGAGACCCCCCTCCCTTTATCACGAAATCTGGGGTACCCGTCACCTGATCGCCTTGGTGGTGTGGTGGTTTGGGTGTCGTAGTCGGAGGTCGCGCAGTCGACGGTCGGTCGCGGGGGGTCGCTCTGGCGGTCGGCGGACGGTCGGACGGACGGTCGTCGGACGGACGGTCGTCGGCGGCCATCGGGCAGTCGACCGACGGTCGTCGGCGGTCGTCGGCACGAGGACTGGCTGGAGTGCTGGCCCCGGCGGCCGCGCTGCGGAGGTCGGTCGTCGGACGCTGGTCTGTCGGAATGCCAGGCTGACGGTTGCCATCGTCAGGGAGCGGGAGATCGGCCGTCGGTCGTCGGAGGGGGTCGGCGATCGGCGGACGCTCGTCGAACGAACGTGGGCGCCCACGCCATGCCCCGCTGGAGCGCAGGCCTGGTGACCTCAAGCACCAGTGGGGTTAGTCGGACGCTCGGCGGAGGGGTCGCGCTGGACCGCGGTGGGAGGACTGACTGCCGCTTGGGCCTGGCGGCCCTCGTGGCTGGCGTCAGTGGGAGTCGGCGGACGCTCCCGCGGAGAGCCGCTGTGGACCACGTCGTGAGCTGTCTTTCCGTACGATGCAGCAGGGAGTAAGTTTTTACACCGCATTGAGCATAGAGTATCTGCAAAGGGAACCTAGGTGTGTAGAACCTGCTCACTCTGCCCACGTCTGCAGGAATGGCCAAAACCTGCGGAACGCCATTGTAAGATCATACATGCGGGCGCCGCATCTTCCTCCTTCTCCTCCTCCTCCTCCTCCGCTTCCTCCTCATCCTCCTCATCCTCCTTCTCCTCCTCCTCCTCCTCCTCTCCTCGATCTCCTCGTTCTCCTCCTCCTCCTCCTCCTCCTGCTCCTGCTCCTCCTCCTACTCCTGCTCCTGCTCCTGCTCCTCCTCCTCCTCATCATCATCCTCCTCCTCCCTCCTCGTTCTCCTCGTTCTCCTCGTTGTCCTCGTTCTCCTTGCTCTCATTGTTCTCCTCGTTCTCCTCCTCCTTCTCCTCCTCCTCCTCCTCCATTATTTTTCCTCATAAATAACTTCTCCCTGTCGCACCTCGAGGCCAGTTTTTAGGGCGGGCATGGCGTTTCGCCTGAGACGTTTAACGATTGTATGACTCTGAAGCTGAAACATTGGCAACGGCTTCACAACTGGAGGGCGGGTCGTTTTCAAAACGTGGCTCTCGCCTAGGCGCGGCGGACATTCTTTTTCAACATTGGTAACACTTTCACACATGGAGGGCGGGTCGTTAACAAAATGTGGCTCTCGCCTCGGCGCGGCGCACATTCGTGGTGAAAAGTGGCAAGAGCGTCACGGATTGAGGGCGGGTCGTTTTCAAAATGTGGCGCTCGCCTTAGCGCGGCGCACATTCGTTTTCAACATTGGCAGGAGCTTCACGGATTGAGGGCGGGTCGTTTTCAAAATGTGGCTCTCGCCTTAGCGCGGCACACATTCGTTTTGAAAACTTGCGCGGGTTTCGCGGATTGAGGGCGGTTCCTTTTCAAACTCTAACTCTCGCCTTAGCGACGCGCACATTCGTTTACAAAATGTGCAAGAGCTGCACGGATTCCCATCATCAAAGTACCAGAACAAATGTGTTGGAAAGGTGCAGGATTACGCAGGCGCAACAGTTACGTCGATTCGCTGTGTTGCAGTTCCAGGAATGACCTTCCAGCACGATTAAATATCGTCAACGCGCAATAGTCATGTTGATCCGTGGCGCTGGAATCCCGAGAACATTGTTGTGGCCTGCTTCAGGAGTCTTCAAACAGTTGTCCCCCAGCGAGGCAGTTCCCTCAATGGAAATGAACCGTTGTAGGGGCCTGTGAAGAGCGAGCTTGGAGGGTGGGTGTATTCCAACATCGTTGATGACTCGTGGGTTTACACTGGTCCTCCTCCTCCTCCTCCTCCTCCTCCTCCCCGTTCTCCTCCTCTTCCCCCCCTCCTCCACCTCCTCATCCGCCTCCTCCTCCTCCTCCTCCTCCTCCTCCTCCTTCTCCTCTTCCTCCTCATCCTCCTCCTCCTCATCCTCATCCTCGCGCTCCTCTTCGAAGAGAGAGAGAGAGAGAAAGAGAGAGAGAGAGAGACAGAGACAAAGAAGTCCGCGAAGATCGCAGCATCGCGACACACACCCTCACGCGCCGCTGCTCAGGGAAGTGCTTGGGAGGCCCGAGTCCTGGCGTGAGGTAGCCGGCCCCCGTTCCACTCCACTCCACTCCACTGCAGCGGTATACGGAGAACCTCCGCCCGAGGATTTGGAAGACACCTGTCCGAGTGGAGGGGCAAAGCCCGCACACGGACGGTGCAATTAGGGGAACAAAGACTGACGTAAACGTAAAAACTCGGAGGTCCGCGCTGGTTTCTCGGATCGGCGCTGGAACCCCCTCCCTGGCGCGCGGAGCGCGCCAGGGGCGGCGGCGGATGCGCCGCCAGGGGGGTCCAGCGCGGATCCGAGAAATATGCGCGGAGCTCTCAGTTTTTACGTTTGTGTCGCTGTTCGTTCCCCTGGCACTGGCAGCTCCGAATGCGCACAGGGGAAAGACCTGCGCTGGCAGCCCCGGTGGGGTCGAAGTCGCTCGGAGCACGCAGACGAGGAGCACCCGTCCCCCGACGCTGGCGCGGCCTGCCCTCCCGCCCCGACTGGGGCAGCTCAGAACCTCCCCTGACCCCCGCCCTCCGCCTCCTCCCTCTCCTCCTCCTCCTCCTCCTCCTCCTCCTCCTCCTCCTCCTCCTCCTCCTCCTCCCTCCTCCTCCTCCTCCTCCTCCTCTCTCCTTCCTCCTCGCCTCCTCCTCCCTCCTCCTCCTCCTCCTCCTCCTCCTCCTCCTCCTCCCTCCTCCTCCTCCTCATCCTCCTCCTCCTCCTCCTCCTCCTCCTCCTCCTCCTCCCCTCCATTCACTCCCTCAGCAAGCCCCTGCGAACGTTGCCCCTGCGATTCTGCCAGGCTCCGCTGTCTTGGAAAGCTCACCGAGCTCGCAGCTCGAAGGATGCCTGCGGGCACATTGTCGGAAACGACACGGCCGTCCAGACCAGCACTGGTAGAGGCTGGCACGTGGCAGCAGACTTCCCTGCAGCATTATGCTTTCTCTGCAAGGTCGGATCCACAGGATATTCCCCGTCGAACTGGGGGAGAAAAGGACGGTTACCATGACCAAGACTGAACGTGGAAACGTCAGTACCTATCCTGATCGTCGTCCATCTTGGCCACCGTCGATTCGTGGATCGCCCTCGCGGTTCGGCGACGGCCAGCATGGACCATGACCACGATCGGCGTCGACAAGATCCAGCGACGTCTTGGTCATGATCTGCGCGCGTCTTCCCTCGAGGACCGCATATATTCTTGGCGGCGCACATCGTTCTTAAGAACCGCATCCCAGAAATAATTTCGAGCACCCAGAGAAGTGTAGAAACGGTGTCGAACGAGCATCGCCTCCCAAGGCCCGACACGCGAAAACCCTCCAGTTTCAGTACTTGTTTGATGCTCGAAGCTCTTCCTTATGATCAAGGCTCAAGAGGTTTGGAACATCAAAATGGTAGGGGGAAGGGGGAGGGTTCTTAGAAGACCAGCGCCTTATCAGAAGCAACCTCCTTCTAAGAAGCCGTCCCCCCTCGCCTTCCAGTCGGACCTGGGCCAGCAGAACGTCCCTCGAGAACATGAGACCCTCCGTCGCCCAAACAAGCAGAACATCCAAGGGCACCCTCCCCAGGATGCGCACGAACACCCAACGAGCACGAAGAAGACGAGGGCACTCTCCCCGAACCGACCTCGATCTTATACCTCGGTCCGACTGTATTCCCCCGGCTATGCGCGTGACCGAGCGCTTCATCCCTCGAGAACGGCTAACTCGGCTGCCGCGGGGCAGGGCCGCCTTCTGCGCGCAACCCCTCGAGGCGCACCGCCACCTCGCCCGCGTACTCGCTCTGCCGCTGCACCGCGCTCCGGACCCTGGCCCCCTCCGCCTCTATCGAGGCGCTCGCGCTGAGCTGCTGCTGCTGGTCCCGCTGCCTCGGGAGGGACTCAGCGCCGCGCACAGGTGCCCAGAACCCCTCGGGGTGCGAAGAGATCACGACGGGAGGTTCTTCACTATTTCTGGCCGCTGGTGGCCCTTGCCGGGCCTCGGGACCGTGAAAAACAATACAGAATGAAAAACTGGTCCCGGACACGGGGTGCAGACCTCTGGGGGTCGACTTTGCGAAAAAGAAAAACACGACGTCGGGGGTCAGGAGGGTGGGGTGGGTAGGGGGAGGGGGAAAAGTTTCTTGGAAGCAGGGGGTGCTCCTGAGAAGCCTTCCCCCTACCCATACCCCCCCTCTGCGCGTGGGTGGGGGACGCGCAACCAGACGCGGTCTGTCGACATTCGGCCCACGCGGGGCCGACAGAGACAACTCCCAAAGCCCCAGGCCCCTGCCGACGCACGGTGTCGACCATCAGGCGTGGAGGAGAGACCGGGGGGCAAGGGACCCAGACCCCCGACGTCGAGATTTGCGCGCATCGCCGACCCCCCAAGGTCTGGACCCATTCCCCCGGACCGGTTTTTCAACCTGAGTCGTTTGTTGGCCCCGAGGCCCGGCAAGGGACCAGACCCCAAAGGCCGAAAATAGCGAAAAACCTCCCGTCGTGATTTTTGTCACAACGCGAGGGGCCTCTGGGGAGGGGATGGAGGGAGGGGGAGAAAGGGGACGTCGGGGAAGGGGGAGGCCGGGGGACTGGATCTGGACGCGGGCGGGGTACGGGAGAACACTGGGCCAGGGCGAGCGGGCAGCGTCTGCCGCGGGCCCCACCTCGTTCGCCAAGACGAAATCCATCGTCAGCTCGGCTCCAACACTTCGTTCGCCAAGACGAAAAACAATCAACTGAGCCGCAAAGCTTCGTTCGAACCGGCCGTCGTCGACGTGCTCGCGCAAGAGATCGCCACACCGTTCGATCGTAGGACCTGTCGACCAAACCGAGCCCAACCCCCCGTTTGGCCAACCTCGGACCCCTCCGCCGCGAGCTGTTCCCGGACGTCGTCCGCCTCTGCCCGCACCTGCCTCTCTCGCGCGGAGCAACGCTCCAGCTGCTGTCTCAGCAGCGTATTCTCCCGCTCCTAGGGGAACAGAAGGCTACCGATACCACTACTCCCTGGACCCCTTCTGGGCTGCGTTCTGACCAGAAATTTCGGGGCGAATCCAGCCGTGGCGACGAGGGCCTCCCAGGAGGCCCACTATGGGGAAAACGACAGAAGGGCAGCGGTGTCGGCATCTCTTCCTCCTCTGAGCTCCAGGCCGTCCACGAGCACAGCGGCGTCAGCGTTGCCCATGCCGGCCAGGCCGGAGAAGAAGCCGGGGCCTCGGCAAGAGGCACCCCTCCCCCGGCCGGGCCTGCCCGGAGAGGCCGGCCACGACGGGCCGCTGTGTGGCCGCACCCGCGGGAGGCCGTGCTGAAGGCGTGGGCAAAACCGAGCACGACGCCAGCGTGCACGGTGTAAGCCCACTTTCCCCGAATAGCGCCTTGCTCGAGGGTTCTAGTGGCCGAGAAAAGAAAAAACCCATAGAGGAGTCCCACGGGGGCACAAGGGGGGGGGGAGGAGGAGCTCGTGCGCGCCTTTGCCGGCAGCCACTTCCCCTGAAGCTTCCTCACAGTTGGTTCGGGAAAACCGTGCTTCCGCCGCAGTGTCTACTGCATGTGTGGCCCGGACGGCCACGATCCCGTTGTAAAAAACCGCGACTGGCTGGGCATGGTTCTCTCCGAACGCCGACACATGGTCCGACGCCGCATCACAGGAGGATTTGTGTGTGACCAGTGGTTGCACTGTGTGGAACAGCGGCCGAACACATTGCGCTTCGGACGTGCACACCCACTGTCCCTGTTATACTGTACAACAACAGTGCAGAATGTGGGCCAATGTGTGTGTTCAATCCACTCCGTCCTGTTTCGCGTGCTTGCGCCCACGACGTGTGAAATGTCAGTCCGCCGTCATACACACATCGACAACACCTTACGTGTTCTGGGAACGCCCAGGGGCCGTAACGTTCCGAATGCTTACGCCGACCACGCGTGTGAGTAAATGACTCCCTCACTTCCGTGCACCATACGACAAAACACCATGTGTCTCGGAGCGCGCAGGCCCCCCCACGACGACGACGCCGACGACGACGATTCGACGATTTCGACGATTTCGACGACCACGACGACGACGACGACAACGGCGTCGTTGACGTGCGCTCTCGCCCGAACGCCGGCCACTCCGTGCTTCTCGCCTCATCGCTGGCTAGATGGCTCGGTCTTGGCCGACCGTTCTTCCTTAAGCAAGCAGAGGCCCACAGGGCGGCGCTCCCCCCCCCCTTCGGGAGGTGGACGTGCTGGGGGGAGACAACGCCACCCTCCTCCTCCTCCTCCTCCTCCTCCTCCTTCTCCTCAGGGCGGCGCTTCCCCCCTTCGGGAGGTGGACGTGCTGGGGGGAGACAACGCCACCCCCTCTGGGGGAACATCCTGCTGTCACCCCCAAACAAACACATGGTTGACCGTTTGGGCTACTTCTGCTTGGGCCACGCGATCCCCCCCAATAACCCCTTTCTGAAAAGGAACCGCCCGTTTGGGCTAGCTTTGCTTGGGCCGCATGATCCACTCCAATCCCTATTGGAAAACCAATACGCTTTCGACCGGTTCTCTGGTTTCCTGCATTTTCTGCAAAATCCTGTTTTTTTTTAGTTGCGACCCCAGGGTGGGAATGGGAAAGCATACGCAATTTGCCCCCGCAGTGCAAACGAGAAGAAACCCAATCTAAGCTGCTCCGATACGCAACGCGCAACACGTAGCGTATTGATACGGAGCTCAACACGTAGACTGAACACGCAAGTCTGACGCGATACGTTCGCCAAAACGTGGGCAAATACGTTGAGTCAACACGCAACGTATTGACACGGACGTTTTGAACACGGCACGTGTTGCGTATCAAAACGGGCGTATCGAGGCAGCTAAGGACCAAATGAGTATGTATGGTAGTAGCACTAGAGATAGAAACTGGGGCCGATGTGACCACAGGCGCAAGTATTCAAATGTATTCGTACCCGCTGACTCGTTCGACACCCCTCCTTGCTGTGCCGACGAGACTGGTTCTGGAATGGGCGCGTCTGACTCTCGCGGGCCATGCCGCTCCGGGGATAAGTGGGCGAGACTGAACAAACGAGATTCACTCATTGAATGTCCGCTGATGGGGAAGTGGGGGTGGATGCAAACATTGCAAACGTGGAGGAGGAGGGAGGAGGAGGAGGAGGAGGAGGAGGAGGAGGAGGAGAATGTGTCAAATGTAGTCGAGGCATGCCCGGGCCCCAGATCAAGCAACTTGCGGAGATTTCTCCTGATATGCGCGCTGTGTGCCAGGTCGAACCAAGGACGTCGCAAGAGCCCCGCGACCAAAAACAGGGCCCCAAACCAAGCAAATGGCGAGGACGTCTCAAGCGAAACCGCGCCCAAACCAGGGGGAACTGACCAAATTGGGAGGATGTCTCAAGCCAAACTGCGCCGAAATTAAGCGAAACCATCTCAAGCGAAACCAGGCCCATACCAGGCGAAACCAACGCGAAGCCAGGCAAATTGCGAAGACGTCTCCAACAAAATCAAGCCCAATCCGGGCGAAACCAAGGCGAAGCCAAGCAAATTGCGAGGACACCAAGTAAATTGCAAGGCCGTCTCAAGCGAAACTTGGCCCAAACGAAGCGAAACCAACGCGAAACCAAGCAAATTGCGAGGACGTCTCAAGCGAAATCAGGCCCAAACCAAACCAATCCAAAGAAATTGTGAGGACGCCTCAAGCGAAACCCGGGCCCAAACCAAGCCAAACCAGGGACCAAAGCAGGCAAATTCGGAGAATGTCTCCGCCCAACCAAGCCAAACCAGGCCAAACCAGGGCCCAAACCAGGCAGATTTTGAGGAAGTCCCAAGCAGAATCGCCCAAACCAGGCTCCACCCACTCTCCTTAATAAAATTCTAATTCTAAGAGTGGATCACCCCAGGCCCCCCCCCCGGCGCGAGCCCGTTCAGAATTTTATGGCGGGGGCGCTTGGACCGCATGTCCGCTGGGGCGGACGGGATTGGGTGCGGAAGGTTTCGTTTGTCTATCTGTTGTTCTTGGGGCCTTCGTGTGGCGTAAGGAGAAATTGCTTCCGAGCCTGTAGTGCACATGGCCATGCTCTCAACCCTGCTCCCTACAGCCGACCTCCTACTCCTCGACCCACTTCTTTGCTGAGGTAGTTCCATTCTTCGCAAGAACGCCCATTCGCCCCACGCTCACCCATGGCACCGTCACCATTCACACAGCCTGGGGCCCAAGCGTGCCCAGCACGCCTGGCGCGCCAAATGCGCCACGTGCTCCACGTGCGCCATGTCTGCCGCATGCTCCTGCCACGCAAAGTGCGCCACGTTCGGAGCACGCGCAGAGTGCGCCAGCGGCGCCCGCGCACGTGACAGCACACATCGGGGAGCATATCGGCCCCCACCGTCCTTATCGAAAAACAATGCGCAATCGCGACGTGGTGGCCGTCATGGTGTCTGGTGGGCCTGCACACAGCTGGCAAGATACTAGCACCCCCGCCGCTTTTTCAAAAACCGATGCAACGTGACCGCGGGGCGGTCGCGCATGATCCAGATCTAGCAGCTCAGCGAAATGCATTTTGCAGTTTCTGTTGACACGGATGGTGGCCCTGCGCACAGCAGGCAATATGAGAACCCCCCCTGCCACCCCTGTCAAGAAGCAATGCAGAATGCTCGCGGGGCCACGAGCATGACCCAAGAAGTTGCCCCGATGTTGTTTTACATTGTTTCGTTGACAGAGGTTGTGGGCGGGGATTCTCAGTGGTCCTGGTTGGCTGCTGGTCGCCTGGAGGAGGGAGTGTTCATGAATTCACAGGGAGCAACGATAGGAAAGCAAGGTCAGGGAAGGGGCACAGAGAGTGGCACTGGGGGGGGGGGGCCGGGTCAGATTACCGCCCCACCCCTGGGGGTCCTGGCAGGTCCCCGCGGTGTGGGTCCCCCTGTGGATACCCCAAGCGGGTCGCCAGCGGGACAATCCCGGGGGAGGTCCCGCCTGTGGCTGGGGGGCCCCAAATCAGAATGCCCCCCCCCCCCCCCACGGGATCCCAGCGGGTCCCAGAGGGGGGGCGCCAGCGGGGGTATCCAGGGCAGGTCCAGCCTTCAGAAGGTCGGCGGCACCGGCCGCGAGGCCCTCCCAATCCGTTCGCAACTCCGTCCCTGGAGCCCTCCTGGAGCCCGTCCTGCCCAGCAGCTCTGCCAGGCGGGCCCGGCCGTGGCGACGAGAAGCCTCCAGGGCCGAGCGTCTCGACGGGCCCTCCTCCGAGACCAGCGCCCAGCGCCCTGCGCCCTGCGAGGCCGAGGCCCTCCTGAGGCCGCAGCTGGCGGCGCTGCCGGCGGCGGAGCCGGCCGAGCCAGCGGCGCCCGCCCGCGCAGCCCTCCCGAGCCCGGCGCCCCCGAGGGCGTCCACAGGGCCGCCACCTCCGCCCGGGGCTCGCGGTCTCGAGGGGGCGTTCCCGGACCCCCCCCCCATCGCGTCGTGGCGGATCACGACGGACCATCCCGGCAGCCCTCCGGGCGTAGGTGGCTGAACGAACTTGTCATGTGTTGTTTCTCTCTCTCTCTCTTTCTCTATGTTTTTCTCCTTTTTTTTCTTTCTCTCTCTCTCTCTCTCTCTTTCTCTCTCTCTCTCTCTCTCTCTCTCTCTCTCTCTCTCTCTCTCTCTCTCTCTCTCTCTCTCTCTCTCTCCCCCCGCCAAAACCCCTCCTTCCCCTGTTCGGGGAAGGGTTTATCACTGCTCCCTATTAATAAGACACCCCCTCCCCGACCCGGCCGGCAGCCATCCCAGAACAACGAGGACACCGTGAGGGCCCCCCTCCCACCACCATCCCTATCCAAAAACAATACAAATCGCACTCTGCCACCACATTTGGCGCACGCGCGGCCGCCCCGCGACCAGTTTTGGTAGCTTACAGGACGGCTGGGGTGCCAGCAGGTCCACCCTGCCTTCTGGGCGCAGGTGGCCTACCGACTGGTTCGACACATCAGTGGCTGCTGCCTTTTCGCCTTGTCGTTTCCGATTGGCTATCGAGGCCTCCATATGGCTCCAAGATTGGCAAAGAAAGTTCGAAGCCCGGCCCAAGACGCTTCCAAATCGGCCCCGAAGGCGCCCCAAGTTGGCGCCAAGAGGGTCCCAGAGGGGGAGGCCTCCAAGTGGATGGCCCAAGAGCTCCAAGCCGGGCCCACGAGGCCTCCAAGACGGCCCCAGGTGACCCAAAAGGGGCCTCAAGAGGCTGTTTTGGGGGGCCCTGAAAAAGGAGCCAGCCCCAAATACCAGCGCGTGTGAAAAAAAACAGCAAAAAAAACCATATATGCGAGTGGCAACGCTGGTAGACGCGCCCGGAAAGTTCGCGCGGGCTGCTCTTTCGCTGTGGCCACATTTCGGAACATGCAGAAACGAACGCGAGGCCAGCGCGCGTCGCGCCGTGCCCCTCCCCCCGCCCCCCCCCCCCCGTTGTGCAAAGCTGGATGCAGGCGCGGACTGCGCCGCCCGGCCCGCGAGCCAGCTTTGCGAACGGCGGAGGGTGGAGAGGGGGGGGTCAGACAGGGGTAAGTCCACGGCTGACGGCTTTGCTCTCGTAGTCTTGGTCGGTTTTTTCGCACGCCCAAATAGGGGGGGCTGAACGTCCCACCCCCTCTTGCGTTTGATCGATTGCCTCCAAGGTGGCCCTCAAAGGCTCTCCACGGCTCCCACGGAGCCCCAAGAATGATGACCCAAGAGATGACCGTAAACCCCGACCACAAGGCCGCAGTGTCCAAATCCGAAGAAGCTCTTACGAGCAAGAGGTTGTATGAATTTGTTCAGGAGGCCCAGCACGCTTGGGCCTCCAGGGTCTGGTGCATATGTAACCCGTGGCTTCCGCGGAGTTCTTACTCGATGTGCTAATACCCGGGTGTTACTTATGTGTCGGGAGGGCGGGTGGGAGTGAGCAAGACGGCTTGCGGGCGGGTGGGTAGCTTGACCCCGCCCCCACCCCCTGCCCTGGGCCTGGGGGAGGGGGGGGGCGCGCGGCGCCAGAGCCCCCAAGATCGCCCAAGATGGCCCCAACAGGGCCTCAGAGAACCCGAGATGGCCTCCAAGATGGCTCGTGATACCTGTAGATGGTTCAATATAGCCTACGGCAAACATCCAAGAGGCCTCAAGACGGCCCCAAGATGGTTTCAAGTGCCCTTCGAGCTTTCCTCGGACCCCCCCGAGAAGCCAAAATTGCTCCCAAACCGAATGACAAACAATGCTTGTTGCCTTCTCGCCATGTCGTTTCCGATGCGCTCTTGCAGCCCAAGAGGGCCCCAAGGAGGCCCCAAGAGCGCCCAAGAACGCCCCACAAGCGCTCCAAGATTCCATTTTTGAGTGTCCGAGAGAGAGGGGGTGAGGGGGCTTAGTTTGGTGCCACCCATATTTTTGATTCATGGGGGCCAAGATGGCCCCAGGAGACCTTCCAGACCCTTCCAAGGACCCCCAAGAGGGCCCCAAGATCCACAACATTAACCCCAAGAGCGCCCCAAGAGTGCCCCAAGAGGCCCCACGGGGGTTCCAAGAGAGTCCCTAAGATGGCCTTCGTCATCGTTCAAGAGCCTCCACAACAACATACCTCCAGCCTTCTCATCCTCCTTGTCATCGTCCGTTCCTTTCTTCCTCCTCCTCCTCCTCATCATCATCATCATCATCACCATTATCATCATCATTACCAGCATCATCATCATCAGTATCATCGTCATCATCATCACCATCCTCATCGTCATCATCATCACCATCATCATGGCACCGCATTCCTCCTCATGTTCCTCATCATCCTCCTCTTCCTCCCCTTCCTCCTCCTAGCCCCTAGATGGCCCGAGGAGCTCGAGCATGGCTCAAGATAGCCTCAGACAGACCTCCAAGAGTTCTCAAGACAGCCACAAAACGGTCCAAGACATCCGAACATTTCTCAGGATAGCCTCCGACAAACCAAACATGGCTCACAATAGCCTCAAAGAGGCCTCCAGAAAGCCTCGGTCGTGTCGAGATTCTAGATGGATCGGTGGGGATACTTGTTTGGAACGCGGGCGCGCGAAGACAACTCGAACGCCGAGCAAGCTAGGGCGGGCCGCGCCGTAGCGAAGAAAAACAGCGAAGCGAACAGCGCCCATCATAAAGCAAAACTGGGCACGACGCGGCCAAAATGGCGCGGAAGGCATCACAAACCGCCACCGAGAACTCGCCCACGAAGGTGCCGACCAGGACGTATAGGTACAGTGTGGGAGAGCGGCTACGCACATGGAAGGTCCGCAACACGGCCGCCCCAGGACGCAACTTGCCGAAGAGGGTGTCCGGGGAGCAGCCACACAGGACTGGCGGGGAGACTTGCTTGATCGCAGCGGCACCGGGAACGCCGGACGCCGTCCATCTGTCGTAGCTAGCGGGCTACGAACGAAACTGCGCAACCGGAGGGGGGAAGAGGGAGGCAACGAGAGGACAACGGAGGGAGGAACAAACAGGAGGCGGGCCTCGCTGCCGCTCAGAGGAGGGCGCCGTAGACTGGGGGGGGAGCCGCCAGCTGGAGTGCAACGCCACAGCGGCGGGGAATTCTGGTTCGGTGACACCGCGAGCGTGCCGGAAATCAGTGATCACCGGCTCGTAGACGCACCACGAAGAACAAGCACCAGGACCAACGGCCGCATCGTCACACGGGTAGCGGGCATATCCCACGCGCCGCCAGGCGTCGACCAACTCACGTGCAGGCGCTCAACGGACCAAGGTCGGGGTCGCCAGAAACCGTCCAAGACTGATGTCGAGTCCGCGTTCCGCGAAGCGGGGGATGCGGGCGGACGCGCGCACACCTGGTAGGGACCGATCCAGGCAACCGAAGGCCCCGGAGCGCGCCATGGAAGCGTCCAGCCGCGAGCGTGCTGGATCCCGCGTGGGGACCGCCGGGGAGACAAAACCGCACGGTGGGGGGGCCACCGAGAGGTGAGCAGGCCCCGGGCTGGCGAGGGATGCCGCCGCAGGCCAAGAGCCGCAGGGGGCGGAGAGGCCGAGGCGGGAGGAGGAGGAGGAGGCGGAGGAGGAGGAGGAGGAGGAGGAGGAGGAGGCCGAGGGGGGAGGAGGAGGAGAGGAGGAGGAGGAGGAGGAGGAGGATGAGGAGGGGAGGAGGAGGAGGAGGAGAGGAGGAGGAGGAGGGAGGAGGAGGAGGAGGAGGAGGCCGAGGCGGGAGGAGGAGGAGGAGGAGGAGGAGGAGGAGGAGGAGGAGGAGGAGGAGGAGGAGGAGGAGGAGGAGGAGGAGGAGGAGGAGGAGGAGGAGGAGGAGGAGGAGGGGGGCACCAGGGGGCGGACGGGCGACCGAAAGTGACGGCCCGCGCCGGCCGTGCAGCAGAAGGTGGAGCCCAGGCGGCGCCTCCGTGCGGAGCAGAGGCTGGGCCGCTGGGCGGGGGCGCCGTGGCGAAGCAGGCCACGGCAGCGCAACGCCTCCGACGCGCCTGGGGCCCCGGAGCCGGTGGCGGGGGCAGAGCGCCGAGGGGGCCCCGAGCGGCCCACGCTGGGCGGGGGGCAAGGGGGGGCGGCCCGGCGCCAAGGAGAGCGAGGAGCCACAAGCAACACCAGCGACAAGGGCGCACTGGGGGGCAGGGCGCGAGCCGACAGGCCCAGCTGGGGCACGCGCCTGGCGGTGTTGGGCGCGAGGCCAAGGCGGCCCCTGGGGGGGCCGCGGGGAGGGCGGGAGGCAGGGGCGGGGGGGGGGAAGAGCCCGAGGGCGAGGCGCTTCGAGCGCGGGAGGCCGGCAGGAGCGCGGGGGCCCGTGTCCTCGTGGCTGGGCCTCCGCCAACTGCACTGAATTGCGGGGAGGTCTCGGGCGAGAGCGCCGTTCCTGAATTCGGGGGCCTCTCTGGCCAGGGTGCCTCCAGGTAAATTGTGGGGAGGTGTCGAGCCGGAGCCGTTGTCGTCGTAGCTGGGCCTCCAAGGTCACACTTTTACGCTCAGGCCAGCGCTCGCGCGGGAGCCTCGTTTTCAGAGAAAATGTAGCCGGCGTCGATGCGAGAGCGCGCGGGACCGCTTCTGGAGACCAACAACAATATTTCTCTACAGCTGTAGAATCAATCATTTAATGCTGTTCGCTCTGATCTGCTCGCGTGCCACTCAACACGTATATCCCGAACCCTCGATACCCGCACTCTTCGTCCTTGACCGTATCCCCTCGGGGGTATATCTTTCTTACCTGCAACGTGTGTTTCGCGCAGTCTCTGAGGCAGGGGGAGAGAGGACGGATGAAGGACAAGGGGAGCAGAAAACACGTGGCAGAACGAGACGGGCAGATCGGGGGGGTAGACCCTACCAGGCGGGTCGGGAAGGAGGGCCCAGGCGGCCAGGTCGAGCAGGCGGGTTGCTCAAGCGTGCATCCTGCATGGATCGCGAGGAAGTCTCAAGCGACAGCTCGATTCCCAAATCA